GGCCCCGCCCCCCCCTGCCTGCGCCTCTGTGGCTGCAGCCGCACCTCCGTCCGGAGGGCAGGTAACTTCCCTTCCAAGGTCATTCTCCGGCTGGTTGGAGCTCCAGGCCGCCCACGTAATGCCGGTTGGCCGGGAAGGCAGAGGCGCGGCTCTTACCGGGTGGGAGAAGCCGGGTGGACCGCGACCCCGAGCGCTGTCCCGCAGAGTGAGGCGTTCGTGGAGCCCGGTCCACCGCGCCGGCTCGCCTCTCCCTGCAACCCCGAGGGGGAGTTTGCTCCTGGCCCAGGCTTGGGGCGGGGACCGATCGGCTCTCAGCCTGCACTCGCAGGTGAGCGCCACCGCCTGCGCCCCGGCTGTCCCGGCCCCGCGTGGTCGGATGTCACCATGGGAACGGCTGGGGGCCCCACGGGGCCCCGCCCCGCGGGGGCGCCTGCCCTGGGTGGGAAGGGGCGGTGGAGGCAGCTCGGAGCCCAGGAGCCCTGGAGCTCCCAGTCTGCACGAGCAGAGCCACGAAGGCTACTGAAAACGGGGCCCCCTCCCCCTCTGCTCATTTTTGGTTGCTTAGGCGTGGGCGGTTCATCAGAGAAAGGCGTGGATGTGTTTACAAGGTGTGAGCTTTGTTCTTCCCACCTTTACCTTCGGAGGGCTCCTGACGCCTCATGGTGACAGGTGCAAATCATGACACTCAAGGGCAGTATGAAGCCAGTGAAGAAGAAAACCGAAGAACCTGAGTTGGAGCCCCTGTGCTGCTGCGAGTACATTGATCGAAATGGGGAGAAGAACCACGTGGCCGCCTGCTTGTGTGACTGCGAAGATCTGGACCAAGGGTGCGATAGGTAATGATGCCGACCCCCCGCCGTTACTAGAACTGCCGTGTACTTTCAGCTTGGCCATCCAGAGCCTAGAATTTGCTCTTGATTCTACAGTATTTTCCAGGCTCTAAAATCGAGGGTTGTCTCTGTGCAAGTGTGAGGATTGTATAAAGATGAATTATGCAGTAGTGCACGACTGTCTATCCAGCTCGGTGTACTAAGAAATGATCATTTTTCATTTAAAGAGAGAAGAGGCTATCGATGAAGGGACAATAGGCTAGTTAAATGTACAAAAAAATAACATGCAAACAAGCAGAATCTACAAGTTTTAAATGAACACAGTTCCAGAAAGTTCTTGTATGCTCAGTGGTCTTAGCACTTAGAGATGAACTTCTTGGGCCTGGATTGCACCTGGCCACAAAGGGCCTTTGACATTGGAAGGTCGTTTTCTTGCTGTTGGTACTGGCTTGCCCCTTGTTGGGGAGGAACTAGCCGGAAGGCAGAGCCTTCCCATGGATTGACTTGTCTTCAGTGTGAGCAGCCACGCTGATCAATCGATTGTGTTGTATTTGGCTTTTATTTTCACAGCTATTCCAGTGATGGAAATTACTTTCCAAAAAATAATTTTTAACATCATTGAACAACATTTTATACACAGTAATAACCCATTTTTGAAATCCATTTTCTAAATAATTATATATTTAAAAATTATTGTCAAATGGAAAGCATAATGTAGAGAGAACTAGGGATGCTGGAAACGTTGCATTTACCATTAGTAATGACTTCTGCTTAAAAGAGTCATGGTGGGTCCTATAGGTGGCATAGTGGTTAGTGTACTGGACTCACACATAGTCCACTGTCATTTGAGTCTTGGACCCAGGCAGCTTGAAACTCATTCTGGGTGCATGTGTGTGCACACCCAAAATCCTGAGAGGAGAATGGAGGAGAAGGGATTGCAGGGTGACCATCCTCCTGGGGGCATGATTTCTTGCTTTCTGTCTGTCTCTCCAGTGATTTGCATGTGCCCTATAGCAAAAAAAAAAAAAAAAAAAAAAAAATCTTTCAAAGGAAAAAAGGCCAGGGGTAGTCGGCGGCGGCTGATGTAGTAGTTAAGGTGTTGTACTCCCAGTGGCTGACTGAGGTTCAAGTCCTGGACCTGGTGGCTTGAAACTCAATGCCAGGCATGTTTGTGTGGGTGCCCAAAATTCTGAGAGGAGAATGGAGAAGGGATTTCAGTGTGGCCATCGCCCCAGGGGGGTGATTTTTTGCTTTCTGATTTTTTGCTTTTCTGCGCCCTAGGGCAAAAATCTCACAAAAAGAAAGTAACAGTCATTGTAGGGGCCAGCTGGTGACATAGTGGTTAAGGTGGCTGGATCCCACATGGTCAACTACATGATTCTGTCCTGGACCCAGTGGCTTGAAAAACATAGCAGGCATGTGTGCCCAAAATCCTAAGAGGAGAAGGGATTGTGGTGTGGCTATTCCCCTTGAAGGTTGCTTTCTCTCTCTCTAATTTTTTTTTTTTCTATTTCTCTCTCTCTCTCCAAAAACAAAAAAAAAAGTTTTTGCGATTCCAAAATGCTGACTTAGAGCTTGGTGCATAGCCATGGAAAGATTCCCTGGTATTACCCTTAACTCCTAAAGACCCCATCTCCTTTGTCATTCCTCCTTGATAGTGTCTATAGTATTTAAATAAAAGGATCTCCTTTCCTTAAAGTTTCAATAACGTGTTCCTCATTTCCAGTAAATACTGTAGGTTTTTGCCATAGGGTGCATGCATTTAATGTAGAGAGGCAGAGACAGAGAGAGGGAAGTGAGAAATCACCCCACAGAGGGGATGGCCGTGCTACAGCTTCTTCCCCTTCATTATTCTCTTGGGGTTGTGGGCGCACATGCACATTCACCTGGCTTGATCCTCAAGTTGCCAAGTCTGGGACTTGAATCGTGGTCGGCCAAGTGGTAATCCAGTGGTATGGTGATACCACCTGCAAGCCCCTATAGTATTTTTCTTTACATATATATTTAAATATAGGTTCTTTAGATTTGGTCTAAAACCCATACTGAGAAAATGGAGCACTTTGCACTAATGACTGGGAAAATGCTCTTTCCATAATTACCGTCACTTCAGACCACAGCTCTTCCATTAAACTTACTCAGTCTACTTCTAGTCCTGGAGAGCTGGACTGTCTCCTGAGTTCTGTCCTCTGTCCTCTGTTCTCTGTCCTCTCCATAGCCTTCTCCACTAGAGAGAGGCTCTTAGTGTTTCCACAGTTCCTGATGCTCTGTAGGGCTCCCATATAGTTATCCCCTACCCAGATTCTAGTCTGACTTTTTAAAATGGTATGTCTGAAATCAAAGTTCTTTCCTTAAGCTCCACTTTTCCTTACTAGCCTGTCTTAGTCTGTTCAGTCTGCTACAGCAAAACATGAGACTGGATAATGTATACATGTCATAAATTTATTAATCACAGTTCTGGAGGCTGGAAAATTCAAGAGCAAGCACTGTCAGATTCATATCTGATGAGGGTCCTCTTCCTCGTAGATAGTCCCTTCTTGCTGCATCCTCTCACAGTAGAAGGGATGAATGAGCTCCCACAGGCCTTTTTTATAAGTGCATTAGTCACTTTCCTGAGGGCTTTGCCCTCATGACCTTATCACTCTCTAAAGGCCCCACCTCTTAATGCTATACATTAGGGAGAAGGTTTTAACCTGTGAATTTGGGGGGATGTAGATATTCAGACCATAGCATTCCACCCCTGGGCCCCCAAATTCATGTCCTTCTCACATACAAAATACATTCATTCCATTTTAGTAGCCCCAGAAGCCTTAACTTGTTCCAACATGAACTCAAAAGTCTAAAGAAGCCAAGTCTGGTCTAAATGTCATCTATGTCAGATATGGATAAGATGCAAGGTACAATTCACTCTGAAGCAAATTTTCTTCCAGTTTGAGCCTGTGAAATCAAACAAGTATGTGTTTCCAAAATACAGGGGGACATGCGTAGAATAGATATTCCCATTCTGCAAGTCAGAAATAGGAATGAAAAAGGGTGTAACAGTCCCCAACCTGATAGGCAAAGAAGAAGAATCTGTGCCTCCATGTCCTGCCTTCTGGACACCTTGAGAGGGAGAGTGAGTCCCCAAGCCTCCAGGTGCCAAGGCAAAGCTCACATTGCATCTCTTATGGGTTGGAATTGGGTGCCTACAATTCTCTAAGGTTGGAATTGCTTGCTGGTAGCTCTACCAGTCTGGGATGCTGGGGTGACCTTGCCCCCATAGCTCAAGTAGGCATTGCCCCAGTGGGGGTTCTCTAAGGTAGCCCCTCTGCCAAGGATAAATGATAAGAATGCAAAGGTCAAATAGTTTACATCCTTAATCCTGAACACATTCTCTAGGGCCTCCTTTGTGATCTGGTGGGGGTAGCCACGCCTCCATAGCTCTTACATTGTATGGGCTTGCAGAGTAGGCACCATATGGACACGGTCCAGGTTTACCACTTGAGCTCTCTGGAGAAGTGGCAGCATTGTACCTAGGCCTACCACGGAGTGTTGCATGTGCCAGAATGGAGGGAGCAGAGATTCATGGCAATGGGCAGTGACTTCTGGGGTTCCGCATTGCCCTGGGCATCTCCTATGAGACTGTTCTACCCCCAAGGCTCTGGCACTCTGAGTTCACTGTAGGAGTTGATCTCCAAACTGCCTTCAGGTCATTCTTCCGTTGTCCTGATGAATCGCACAGGGCTCATCCACACGGATCTCCTTATCCACAGCCTTGGTGTTCTTGCCCAAACATGCTTTCTCATTTGTTACCATGCTGACACGCTGACAAGTCTGAGAATTCCCCAGATCTTTAAGTTCTGTTTTCCTTTGATTAGGAATTCTGTCTTTGAATACTTTCTTTCCTCTCATGATTTACTGGAAGCATTCAAGAGAAGCCATGCAGTACCATCAGCACTTCGCCTGGAGATTTCTGCCACCAAATCTCCAGTTTCAGAGCTCCTGACGTCTACCTCCTACAAAGCATTAGGACATGAACACACTCAGCTAAATTCTTTGCCAGTTGACAACAGGATCTCCTTTCCTTAAAGTTTCAATAACGTGTTCCTCATTTCCATCTAAGGGTGCCTCAGAATGGCCTTCGCTGTCCATGTTTCTGCCAGAATCTTAGGGCTTTCTTCTTATGCAGTTCTTAGGACTGTTCACCTATGCAGATCTAAAGGATACTGGTATGGAATATGCATACGTATGCACGTATTCGTTTAGTGGAGAAATACCCTTGACTGTCTAACTTCTAAACATTATCTCCTTGGTCCTATCGAAAAAGATAATGATCTGAAAAGCTCATGTTTGGTGGAAAGGAAGTAAAACGTGTGGCCTTTGGTCTCCTCATTTATCCTGCTGTTTGGCGTGGGGAGGGGGGACTTGAATTCAGCATAACCACATGAAGCACCTTCCCTTTCTGTTCTTTCTGAATAGATGGATTACGTGTAAGTCTGTGCAGCCGGAGACGTGTGAGAAAATCATGGATACAATTTCTGATCGCCTTCGAATTCCTTGGCTTCGTGGAGCCAAAAAAGTCAACATAAGCATCATCCCTCCCCTCGTCTTACTGCCGGTCTTGCTCCGTGTGGCTTCCTGGCACTTCCTCCTGGGGGTGGCGGTCCTGACCTCCCTCCCTGTGCTGGCACTGTGGTACTACTACCTCACTCACAGACGGAAAGAGCAGACTCTGTTCTTCCTGAGCCTTGGACTGTTCTCACTGGGCTACATGTACTATGTGTTCCTGCAGGAAGTGGTCCCCAAAGGCCGTGTGAGGCCCGCTCAGCTGGCTCTTCTTACCTGCGGGTTATTTCTGATACTCTTAGCCTTGTACAGAGCCAAGAAGAATCCAGGCTACCTCAGCAATCCAGCAGGCACTGACAAATCCCCAAGCAGCAGCCAAACCGAGTGCCCAAATCGGAAAGGGCAGGAGACAACCAAAGCATTCCCGGGAGCAGACGTGTCAGGCAGTCTCAACAACCGCACGCTGAAGGATGATCTGAAGGGCTCTTCCCGGATGTTAACTGGAAGCCCTGCCAAGGTGAAGGAGGACTGGTGTGCTAAGTGCCAGCTGGTGAGACCAGCCCGGGCGTGGCATTGCCGGATTTGTGGCAGCTGTGTGAGGAGAATGGATCATCATTGTGTCTGGTATGTTGGAGAAATCTGGACCCGGGAAAGTGTACATGTAAAAACTCTAACCGTATTTGATCTTCCTTTGTGCTACCCTAAAATTTCTCTCCTTCCCAGCTTTACACCTCGGAGATATTTGTGGGCTGTGATGATGTTCCCACTTAGTCATCAGATTTCCGAGTTTCACAAATTTAGTTCCTTCAGTCATTTCCTGAAGGAGAATAACCAAAACCTGTTTTTCTTTTTCTTTTTTTTTTTCAATACTGCTCTTCTTTTATCTTCTTTTCAATAGAGACATAGTTGAACGATTCTTTTAAAGAAGAATTTATGAGAATAAGTATAGACATATTTCCCCATACTGTTCCTTTTGAACACAGCTCAGGGGTATCTAATACCCCTATTTTTAGATAACTCTTGGGCTCTTTCCATACATACTTAATCATTTTTAATGCTACCAATGATTTCCACTCAACATTATTGAGTTTGAGGCCTTATCAGCCAACTTTTATTTGGTTATTTGTGGCAAGATGGGCTTCTTTTGTACCTTCCAGTGAGCCTGTGACATATGAAGACATGTAAGACCCATTAAGATATAAAATGATGTTGGGGCCAGCAGGTTGCATGGTGGTTAAAGCGCTAGATTCCCACATGGCCAACCATGATTTGAGTCCCAGGGGCTTGAAAATCACACTGGGCACCTGTGCATGTATGCCCAAAATCCCAAGAGGAGAAGGGATTGTGGCATGACCATCTGCTGGAGGGTGATTTCTCACTTACCTTCTTTCTGGTAAGCACACGTGCCCTATGGCAAAAACCTAAAAACAACAAACAAACAAACATATATACATAAATGCAGTGAGGCTGGCTCCATGGCTTGGTTGTTAAAACAGCCAAATCCCACATGGCTGACTGCACAATTTGAGCCTGGGACCTGGTGGCTTGAAAAACATGCTCAAACATACATGTACATGTATGCCCAAAGTCCTGAAAGGAGAGAGAAATGGAGGACAAGGGACTGCAATGTGAGCATTCCCCATGGGGAGTGCTCTCCTTTTCTTCTCTCTGCCTCTCTGTCTTGCCCCGGTTAGCTCACGTACCTGTTATCAAAAGAGAAAAAGAAAGGATATGAAGTGCGACTTTTAAAGAAAATGTCACAGCCTTATGGAGTAAATCCAAACTAAAGGGAGCAAAGTTCATTCATTTATGAATGCCACAAGTAGCATGTTTGCAGCATTATTGCTCTTCAGGCAGTCATGGCCAGTGTTTTTTGTGTCTAAGATTCTGGAAATATAGCATTCTTCCTCCTTAGAAGGGGATGTGGAAGAGGGTGAGGTTGAAAGAAAACCCAGGAAGGCATTAGAGTGGGCCTCAGAGAGTACATGGTGCAGCCAAGGGGCAGCTTTATTCTAGGACTTTGTCTTTAGTGGTAAACAGGTATTTTCATTTTCAGATATTCCATTTCTGTTTGCATCATTTACTCTGTGTGTGTGCATGTGTGTGTGCACACACATGCACATGTATGTGTGAGTATGTATGGTAGCTCATTTACACATGCTGGTCCAGACAGCGTCACCTAAAAGAAGACCTCTGTCCTCCCAAGCATCCTGGGCTGGAGTGAGCAGAAGGTACTTACATCCTGTCCTACTAGTGGCCATGACATAGAACTATTTTTACCTGATAAGTAACCTGTATATTATCAGGTTGTTCTCCCCCCAACACCATGTACTAACTTGCCTGGATTTTTTTTTTTTTTTTGAGAGATTTTTTTGCTATAGGTCATGTGTGCTCACTAGAAAGAGAGAGACAGAGAAACAGAAAGTGAAAAATCATCCCCCAGGAGGGAAGGCCATGCTGCAATCCCTTCTCCTCCATTCTCCTCTCAGGATCTTGGGCACACAAGCACATGCTACCAGTGTGAATTTAAGCCACCGGGTCTGGGACTTGAACTTGGTTGACTACATGGGAGTCCAGCGACAGGGCCATTACACCAACTGCTGGTCCCCCTCCCTGGATCTTACTGCTCTTCATTTACTTAACATATAACTTCCCATACTTCTGATTTAGCATTTAAAAAAAATTGTTAGAACTATTTATTTAATTTGATTTTTTTTTCTTTTTTTTTTTCAGTTTGACCAGAGAGAGACAGAGAGAGAGAGGGAGAGTAAGAAAGCAAGCCACCAGGTCTGGGATTTGAACTGCAGTTGGCCATGTGGGAGTCTAGTGCCACTTGCCAGCCCCACGATTCCATGATTTAGCATTTTTAAAAATGGTTTCATAACACTTCTATTTTTCTCTCTTTCCTTAGTATGGTGATGACAATGCTAACTTTTTTTTTTTTTTTTGGAGAGGTTTTCCCTATAGGACGTGTGCGCTCCCCAGACAGTCAGAGAGAGACATAGAGACAGAAATCGAGAAATCACCCCCTAGGGGGTATGGTCACTCCACAGTCCCTTCTCCTCCATTCTCCTCTCGGGATCTTGGGCACGCACGCACACGCGCCCGGCGTGAGTTTTAAGCCACCGGGTCCCAGACGCGAACCGTGGTCGACTACGTGGGAGTCCAGCGACATAGCCATTACACTAACTGCTAGTTCCTGACAATGCTAACTTTTTTCACAGCTGGATAACTTATTAATATTTAGGGAGATTTTTTAGCCAAGTCCTGCTTTTTATTTATTCTTGTGCTTATGCTAATTATATGATTCTAGAGTAGAGACTGTAAGACTGTATCCCTCAGGGGACACGTTAATAATTCCCTAAAATTGAACTTACTTTTTAATCATTGAAAAATCACGCCATCTCTATTTTGCAAGCTTTATTGTTTATTATGTGCATTATATAGAGAACTTTAAAAAACATGTTTGCTTTTTTTCGTCTCTGCTGTTTCGAGGATAAATAGCTGTGTTGGAGAATCCAATCATCAAGCATTCATACTTGCCCTCTTGATCTTCTTGCTCACCTCGGTCTATGGGATAACGCTGACCTTGGACACCATCTGCAGAGAGAGAAGTGTCTTCACAGCTCTCTTCTATTGTCCTGGAGTTTATGCAAATCACAGGTAAGATTGGATACCCAGCATGAAGGTCCATGGAAAAGTGTTGGATGGTACTGTTAATGGGGGCTATTTGCTGGTATGGGAGGATTCTCAACGAAAACAGAGCAGGCTGCGGGGACTCTGGGTGCCTACTGCATTCTGTGGAAGTTGCCAGCAAACGTGTGTGGCAGTGCTGTGCGCCTGTGGTGCCATCCGTGGAATCACTGACCTTAAAGAGTTAGCAGTCAGCATTCTATAGATGACCAGGCTTAATCAAGGTCTTCTAGAGTCAAGTGACCACTCGCATGCCCAAGTTAGCAACAATGAAACTAAAACAATAGAAACGTACAGTCCCGGGGGGTGGGGTGGGAGGGTGTATATGCCCACTTTGTCATATTCCTCTCACTGTATTGATATTTTCTGATGCATTTTAGTCCAGTCTGAGTTTACCGCTTCCAGCCCTTTTGAGAAAGACTCACCATTCCCATAACCTTCCCTTTTTTAAAAAAGAATTATTTAACTTTGTTTATTATTATGCTTTTTTTTTTTTTTTCTGAGACGTTTTTGCTATAGGGTGCATGCACTCACCAGAAAGACAGAGAGACAGAAAGTGAGAAATCATCCCCCAGAGGAGATGGCCATGCCACAATCCCTTCTCTTCTATTCTCCTCTCGGGATCTTGGGCATGCACGCACATGCGCCTGGCTTGAGTTTAAGCTGATGGGTCCAAGACTCGAACTATGGTCGACTACATGAAGGTCCAGTGATGTAGCCATTACACCATCTGCTGGTTCCTATTTATTATTTTGTTTTAATTTGACCAGAGAGGGAGAGGGTGAAAAGAGTGAGTGAACAAGCCACCAGGTCCAGGACTTGAGCTGTAGTCAGCCATGTGAGAGTCCAGCACTTTAACCACCATGCCATCTGCTAGCCCCCTCCACAATCTTACCTTTCTTTTCTTTCTATTCTCTCTTAATTTCTCCTGTTCTAGATTTTTTTTTTTTTTAATCACCACTCATGATTATTGTGGTATCTAGGTCAAAACTTCCTTAGGCCCTGCTAACCTGGGCGCATTTCTATGTGGTGAAGATTTCTGTGCTGTGGCACAAGCTGGAATCTTCAGCTTGAGCCCAGCCACCTGCTCCTTGAGTGCTATGGCCTTCCTCTGCCCATGTTCTTTTTATTTTTTTAGGTTTTGCCACAGGGCACTTGTGCTCGCTGGAGAGAGAGGGAGAGAGATAGAAGCAAAGTGAAAAATCTTTCTCCATGGGGAATGGTCACCCTTTCCAACATCATCTTCCTCTGGTATGGGTGCTCTGTGGTGTCCGTGGTTTGGTCCTTGTGTTCTTCTTTTGTGTTTTCAGAACTGTCCCTGTTTTCTCTATCTAGTTCCTTTGCATGGCACTTGTTTTCTTTAGTCCATGCACCAGATTTCCCATCACCATTCTAGATCTAGTCCTTTGGGAGCATTGTTAGCATAGATGGCCCTCCTCCTCCTCAGGGTAAGTCCTGTCCTGGCTACACGGAGATTCTTAGGAGGTGCTGTGTGGGTTGAATATCTTAGAGTGGAGCCTGTGTGTTGTGTGTGGTGATTGACGCACACTGAGCCATTGGTTCTTACCACCCTATAGGTGACTCACCTCACCTCATCTTTATCATGAGGTCCTTGGATTTAATTATCTTTGAAGTCCTTTTAGCTTTACAAAGGAAGATTTTGAATGAATTCATTTCCAGCCAACTTTCACTTGCAATGTTTGAATGATGGTAATTGAATGGAAATACCAATCAGCAACCCCTCTGCATAGTCTCATTAGTGAACTTCAAGGGAGCTTTCTTACCTTGTGTGAGTCTGTTTGGCTTTAGGAAGCTGAACATGATGGAACCAGCAGATTGCATAATAGTTACATCACTGGACTCTCACCTGGCTGACCATAGTTCGAGTCCCAGACCCAGCGACTTAAACTCACCCCAGGCATGTGTCTGTGCATGGCCAAAATCCCAAGAGGAGAATGGAGGAGAGTGGATTGCAGTGTGGCCATCCCACCTGGGAGGTGATTTCTTCCTTTCTGTCTCTCACTGGCAAGCGCATGCACCTGATAACAAAAATCTCTCCCCCCCAAAATAAGCTGAACTTGAAATGTGATGGTGGTCTCACATAGTGTATGAGTAAGGAGAGGACTTAGTTGTCTTTGTGTTCTTTAGCACTGGACTGAAAAGAATGGAGATGAGTGATTTTAGCACAGTTCCTGGGGTCGTACCTACAGCTTCCTAGAGGACGTTCATAGCAACCTCATGATGCCTTTGTTTTTTTTGTGAATGAGGTACAATTTAGAAATTATTCATTTGACAGAAAAATGTTGAACACCACTGTGTCAGGCACTGTGATGGTTGTATGGAGGATGCAAAATGCAAAATGCAAAATGCAAAAAAAAAAAGTCCTTGCTAATTCTAGTGTGATATATGAGGGACTTGAGAAATTCCCACAAAAGTGGAATTAAAGCATCAGTTTATTGTGATGCAAAAAATTTGGAAATCCATGTATAGTTTTTTCATAATAGGCATTTTCTGTGAACTTTTGGAATACCCCTCGTACTAGAAAATAAGGCACCAATAGTTATAAAACAGAATGTGTTACTTCTCCTAAGTTAAGCAGGTTATTGGTGTTTTGAAGATAGAATAGTATCTATCGGGATAGAAGGCTGGAGAAGGGGCCCAAATCCTTAGTATTTAGAAAAAAATGTATAAAACATTAGACTGGTGACAGCTTTGTGAATGGGACAGAAGTGGCAGCCCTGACTGGCCTTTCCCCCTTCCAGCTCAGCTCTGTCCTTCACCTGCGTGTGGTACTCCGTGATCATCACAGCGAGTATGGCCTACATCTTCCTGATCCAGCTAATAAACATCAGCTACAACGTGACCGAGAGGGAAGTCCAACAGGCCCTTCGACAGAAGACGGGGCGCCGGCTCCTCTGCGGGCTCATCGTGGACACAGGCCAGTACAATAGGGGCTTCCTGCGGAACTGGCACCAGTTCTCCACCCTGGGCACGCGTGCATTCCACCACCCTGGCGAGGACATTGTCTGAAGTGCCTCCTGTATGGCTCTCTGAGGGATGGCTCCTCCCATCTCCCTTCCATTGTACGCTTCAGCGTCCACACAGGATGTCCATTTTTATCCCAGTTTCTTAAAGGCATTATAGGGCCATGCTCAGGTGTAGAGACTGGACTGGGAAGAAATTAATTTTTTCTGACTTCGCAATTGAAGAGACTTTTTTTCTGTCGAAGCAGTAAAAGCAGAGCCATTCCTTTCCAGTCATCTTACTGACTCACTCACCAGAAGTTGAAAAGGATGTGGATTGCTAATACACAAATTGACAGAAGCAATTCCCGTCCATCGGCGTGGGGGAAAGAG